AGCTTCCCTGATAGATTCAGGCTCAGTTTAAACACCATCAGCAAAGGGAAGTCCACTTTCTTCCAAGACTGTTAGGATTTTTTTTTCCTGATATCTTGCTGAAATTGACTTATTTGTAATTTAAATCCCTTGTTTCTTGTCCTGTATTATGGAACAACTATGAATTACGTATTACTTCCTCCAAACATTATTCTTTATAACAATCTGTTTCAGTAAATAAAGCTTTTCATTTTCATAGTTTTAGTGAACATGCATTTTTATCGCTGAGAGATATTCTGTAGAGCAGCTTTTCCCAACTTTATGTTTCTTCAAGATATGTAGAACTACAGTCCTGATCATCCATATGCTAAGCAAGGCTGATGGCAGTTAGTGTCTAACACATGTGGAAAACAGCATGTGTGAGAAATATATGTTTCCATATATTATTTTCATGTAACGGGTATATATTAGACAGCCTTTTTCATGTTGGCATATGGTAACAGGAGATGCAGCACGGTTTTCACATGAGTTGAAAATAGACTCTGCTGCCAGCACTGTGCCCTCCCTTGGATCAATGTACCTTTCTTCTTTGCATGCATGGCGACCAGTCAGTTATTTTTCTCTTTTTGAAACTGCCATCCATGTATTTAGAGTATTTTTTAAATTTATTTTACATGCCAGAACTTCAAACACCATTTTAATGTCAGTGAGTTCATCTGCTTTACCAAAATGCTGCCAGTCCTAATGAGGCAAAAGCAGTGCAATTAAAGCAAAGGAAAACAGGTGTTTCATTATACAGAAGATACTGCCTTTCATTTATATCTTCCAGGCACTAAATTCTTCAGACTAAGTAAATAAATCAATAAAGTTACAAGCTTGTCTAACTCCGGTGTGTAAATAAGTTGTAATGTTTCTAATTCAGGGGATGATAACATTGGAATGTGTGATGACTAAAACATGATATGTTGTGTATTATAGAGATAAGTTTCATAATCTGATCCATGATAGAAATAATTTTGCTTGGGTACCAAACATTGGATGACTAGAGCACTTCAGCAAGAAACAGAACAGAGTATTCCCACCCTTGTGCCTAAAGGGAAAAAAAATAGCATTTGCAACATTTCTATCCTTCCCACAGCAGAAGGCATTCTAATGTAGTTGCATGTATTATATTTATTTAGTTATTTGGATTTAAAATATATATATATGTATAAATACTAACTTTAAAAAAAAGACCTCAAAGTATGTACTTTTAAACTTCAAATTTAAAAATCTAGAGGTGACTATATCATACACAGTACACATTATTAAAGAACTGTAGCCTCTGATAGATATTCTTGTATCTATCCCAGCCTTCTTTAATCACTTACCTTCCAGATGTGCTTGACTACGGTTCTCATCTTCTCTACCCAGCATAGCCACTATTTGTAATGCACATGGATAAACTTTGAGAGGTCAAGGAGATCCAATGCTACATTAAAAATTACATTCAAAAGGATCTCAGTTGTACTAAAAATCACAGTTTGCTTGTATTAAAACAGTACATATTTTGGGATATGAGCCACTGCTTATGAGCTCACTGTATCTTTACAGTGTTGGGCAAAGAAAAAGGCATAAGCCCATAGTGAAAGGGAAAATGGAAATGAGTAATTGCTTAACTGAGCAAACTCGACATGAATTGACAATGGTGGCAGTTACAACATGAAGAACAGAAACTGACATATCTAGAAATGTCCTGTGTTCTCCATCTTTTCTGTAAGAGTTGATTCTCAGACTACAGGTATACAGATTCAGGTGGCCACTATATAAAGAATCAGCTATAGACTTCCAGGAAGTCTCTGTTCTAAGGTCCACTGAGATATTTTAATTCTAAATTGAAAGCCTGCTCAGTTGTTGATTAATAATTAAATCCTTTCATCTTAATAAATAAGCAAATCATCTCAATCTTACTAAAGAGAACTCTTGTCATGCTTGGAAGAGAATCTTGCAGTTCAGACAGCTGCCACTTCCTCTATTTGTATACAAATCCATTATTGATATGGTCACTCTGGTCCCATTCTATCTTGCATGTCAAAAATACTGGAGTATTTACACATAACTATTCATGTGTAAAGTCCTAGAATTTGCATTTTAATCTGTTTCAAGTCCCTAGGTATATGTGTCTCCGTGCCCATGTATCTGATTTGCAACCTTGGCAGTTTATAATCTATAAAAATAGATTAAGGTTGTCATGGGGAAGGATAAAACATATTACAGACAGGTTTAGAATTGTGAAAAACCTTATCTAATTATTTCAGGCATATGACTAGAATCCAAATATTATAAATATGTATGGAATTTAATTATGGGTCCCTCATGGATACATATCTCCTAGTTATAAACAATAATTTAGCACTTGCATGATAGCAATCATGCCAACATTAAAAAATGTGCCAGATTTTTTTTTTCCAGGCAAGTTGTGGCATGGATGGTCAAAATCTTGTATATATTGTCCATGATGTTAATGTTGCCCTATGTATTCTCTGAAACCTATTTTAGTTCAATCCACTTTCAGAGTTTTATATCAAAAACAATATATACATTAGGATTCAAACTGAGAAGTCAACTTGTGACAAGTACAGTTGATCATGTTTTCTTACGTGATTAGTACATACCAAGTAACTAGGAATTAAACTGATGTTTTTCTGTGAAATGGTTTTTTGAAAGATGTGGAGTAAAATATTATTTTATTATTTGAGTATTGTTGAACATTCGTAATAGAAATGGAACAACTCGGGAAGTTGTTACACGGTATATGAAATATTATATAAATATAAAATGTACACCCGTACTGCTCTTCTGAAGCACAAAGTAAAAACTATAGGTTAATACAATCTGTGAAAATAGAGCCAGTTTGATGTAGCAGTTAAGGCATCAGGCAGAAACCAGGAGACCGTGAGCTCTAGTCCTGCCTTAGGGACAAAGCCAGCTGAGTGACCTTGGGCTAGTCACTAACTTTCAGCCCTAGGAAGCAAGCCATGGCAAACCACTTCCAAAAAACCTTGCCAAGAAAACTGCAGGGACTAGTCCAGGCAGTCGCCAGGAGTCAATACTGATACAAAGGCACAAAAAAAAAAAAAAAAAGTGAAAATAGAAGAGAATTTAAAATTCTGGCATTGTAAATTATGTTATTTCACATAAAACTGACAGTTTTTATCTAATTTATGTATAATTTAATAGAATTTTGGTACAACTTAACAGACTTTGAAACTTAAAAACTGGTCTTAACAATTGGAATTTAGATAATAGTCTCAGTGCAGAAGTGGAAATCAAGGAACCAGTTTTATACTTCAGAAAAAGAAAAAGATGTATGCATTTATAACACCCCCAAACAAGAAGCCTTAGGAAACTGCTTTCCTAAGTGTTATTTAAACTTAGTGTTATTAGTGTCAACTTTAAACCAGTGTTATTTAAAGGTGATTTAACTTGTACATTTCTCATTATTGTTTTGGCTAGTAGTTTCCTGATTAACAGGAAAAATAACTACATGTAACTGTGTTAACGATCTTCCGGGAAAGCCTGGAAAATCTCATAAGTGAAGCTGCTCCAAAACAGTTGCCTAAATTGCTCAAAAGTCTTCTTTACCTTTTTGTTGAAGAAAAAATACTACTGTGAATGTTGCCAGACAACACAGATAGCAACCAATACTGTGATGTAAGTTTCCATCCCAAAAGTAGTGATAACAGAACAAGACATGTTAATATTCCAAATCCAGTAGGTACAGATATTGAAAAGTCTAGCATATAGCAAAATAAAATGTAATGAAATAAAATTATTTTAAGACAAATAAATTAATTTCACATTCTTCAAAGCAACTTTCCACTAGTGTATAAGAACCATACAGGCCAGTTGTTTCCAGTTTAGCTTTTTCATATAAAAACTGATGCCAGCTCCTGAGATGAATGAAAAGAAAATGCAAATCAGTACAGTAATATGTAGCTTTTTAGTGTGTGTGTGTGTGTGTGTGTGTAAAGATTTGAAAGATCTTTACAGTTCTGTTATCTTTCCAAAGATCATGCAACTTCAATTTTTGTTATAGTAATGATAATCCTTATAAACCAGTTCCCAGAAGAAATGAATAATTGTGTCAAGAACTACAAAATCAGTGTCAGAACTATAAAGAAAGAGAATGTGGGCTAAAATACAACAAGACCACTAGATAGCAACATTAAAGTGAAATCATTAAAAGAAGCAGCTACTCACTCATAGGCATTGTCCTGAATGTTTCAGACTGTGATGTTTATGTATCAGCAAAGATGGGACTACTGTTATTCAAATTTGAAGATACTGTTTGAAAATATAAGCTTCTACCATGTTTTGTGTGAATATATATCCAAATCACTTGGCTGTGTTTTCAGTAGTTCTAGAAGTTCTAAAAATTAACTGCAACATGTTTTTTAGGGAAAGTATATAACTTCCCTTCAAAACCTGGTTCGTGTTAGATGATGTTATTCCAAAACATCTGTGAATGGGGACTACTGTATTTGGACTGCAAAAATCCTGGGCTCCAATAGACTGCAGCAGACACACACAGAAAACCCTAATTCTCTTCTGCTTTCTAGATGTAATCCTGATTTGGGCAGCCCAGCTCTGGTAGCCCTATGTGAATATCCTTAAGACAATAAAGACTCTAATATTCCCTGCATCGTCTCCTTTAGTGCTCCTAAGTCTGCCATCTAATTCACTCAAAGTATTGTTTGACCTCGCCAAGTCTCAGCAAGAAAACTGCTAACCCAGTTGCTCGGCTTGAGAGCAGCAGCAGCAACAGCTACCGTCTGAGAGCTTGCTTGCCGCTTGTTCAAATTGGCAACCTTGCCCCAAGCTGATAGGAGCAGCCAACATTTCTGCTGACTGGAGTGAGGCTATCTTTTCCAGTTTGCTGGAATAGACACAGACACTGATTGGGTCATGCTGAAAACATTCCAGTCCCATGAAGCAAGTCAGTTTGTATTTTAGGTTTGGCAGGACTAATGAATTAAACATCTTGGCCTCCGGACAATTTGCTGCTTTAATACGGTCCCTGATGGAAAGGGGTTTTGCCCAGGAAGCATGACAATGCTGTAATCCTTCATTGCGGGGAAGGGAAGGGACAGTGGAATTGGGGCGGAAAACAGAAAAGGGTGGTCCTGAGGGCGTAAAAAGCCTATGGGAAGTGCAGGTAGCAGCATGTTGTCCTGACAGCTGTTTCAACTTCTCAGACCTTGTCAGTTCACTGCTATGTAGCAGGTGCAGCCTTTTCTTTTCCTGAATCTTTACTCCATAAAGGCAACAACAAGTCAAGGCAGTGGCTGGCCCTGGATTATACAAGTGCAGACACTACTAAGTGAGGTAAGGCAACAGGTGTGAAAACTGGACTAACTGATTGAGTTGTGACCACACTTGGGTTTGAGAGCTGAAGTTTTTTAGATATAAGCAAAGTGCATGCAGTCTCACAGACAAGCCAACTGAAGAGCTGTTTCCTAGATCACTGTTTCAGACATACCACACTCAAAGCTTTCTCTTTTACGCAGAAGAAAAGATCAAGGTGTCTGCTCGAAGCAGTTTTATTTAGTTCCTCATTTTAGATGATACGTGCAGATTATAACTCTCTTCTGTTCTTTCTATAGCTTCCTTTTGCTTTATTTTCCTGAGAGGAAAACCTCCATGGATATATGCTAAACATTAGAGAAGGCTACATCTGTACTGTACAGGTTTCTCTGTAAAGCTAAAAAAACAGACATTTGAAAATCCTTTTATGGCTTTATTAAAAGAAAAGACCTTGGTACCCATTATTTCAAGTTTCTAGCTAAAATCTTTGTATTTTTTTTAACCAGTTAATAGCACAATCTTTTCATAGAATTAATGCAATTAAAGATGGAGTTGATGTGACTTTAATATATAGTTCTTTCATGCTTTTTTAAACTTTTTTTAGTAAGTTATTATAGCCACAGGATTAATAGAACAGATTAGGCACTACATTTGTAACATCTCTGAAGCTTCTGTCTGTGGTTTCAAGTCATAATAAAATAGGCTTTGTAGTCACTGAAATATAGGAAAGCAAAAAATACTTTTATTGTTTCCAGTCTAAAAATGATATATGAGGCTTTATTCTAACAGTTTGAAGTCTAGCATTTCAGATAAAGAGCTTGGATACAAATTTTGTTTATATAAATTTATATAAAGTGTAACAGAATTCTTATACTTTTATTTGCAAGGCTAGTAAAGTAGAAAATTTTGTCAAACTATTTTCAGAATCAATAGGATCTGGAACTTTGTTTTATTCAGCCTGATTTAGATGATAATATTCTAGTACCTAACATACATGTGCTGCAAAACTCCAGACAACCAGCTAGTGGCACAAACAGATACAGAATACTAACTCTTTCCTTCCATCTAGTGGCACCCTGGAGTTTTGCAGTTCAGGTATGGTAGCCCTATCAGTATCTGAAAAAAATGGGACATCAGCAAGCTACTTTAAAAGCATTTTACCACTTGTTCTTCAATAGGCACAACAAACAAAGTTTGGTATAAGATTGTACAATAGTATATTGTGTTATACAATAGAGTATAATAATAAACTATGAGATGATTCAAGTTGACTGCCAAATGTCTAATGTATTAGTTTTCCAGATCCTGCAAATTACATTAGTATATCATCCTGAAATGAATGACAAAGCTTCCTGGATTAAGAATACAGTTTCTTTCTTTTTTTCACAATCACTATTCAAGGTAAATTGGAAACTAGATGTAGATTGGCCAACTACTAAAAAGAGTATCAGGCACAATTTTTATTCAGTTTACTTCTCTCCAGTAAAGCAGTTTTAAGCTTACCTTAAAAGAACACAAAATTCTTAAAATGGGCAAGTTCAAATCTTCAGAAAATTCTGTTTTGTATTTTTACCTGTATAGTTAAATCCTGCTCCATGAATTGTCTGTCACTATAACTATAAGAATAGTTATATTCTGCCACCAGTGAAATTACAGTACCCTTGTCAGCAGAGATTTTGGGAAGAAAAAAACTTGAACACTTATGGATGTAAAAGCATATTTGATAATCAATAATTGGAGCAATATTCAGTGTAATACATCTAAGATCTTTTTTTACACAACTGAATTATAGCAGTACCAATTATCTGTATGCCATAGTTTCCAAAACAAATTTAAGCTAAGATTAAGGTTGTTGAATTTTTTAATTGTATCTCAAAAACTCTCTCCTCCCTCCCTCCAAATATTTTGGGATTTACTCAAAGACCTGATCTTTTAAATGTCCTTCTCCTTTCCTGGAAAATATCTTGACATCAAGATAAAAGTGTGAATTTCCAACACCATTCTTTTCAGATCCAGGAAACCTCAGCACTTCAGTGCCCATTCCCACAGAGTTAATTCATTCAAAGATCTTGGTTGTCTTTCATCCACTTACATTCTGAGATTATTTTGGAAGTGCTTCTTGATTTATGTGGCTTGGAGCGTTCCTGGAGCTGCCTGATCTGGCAACTGTGATACTTGTTCTAGTCATTTCCCATTACAATTATAGCAATGTGCTCCATGGGGATGCCTTAAAAGAGATTAGGAAATTACAACAGATCCAAAATGCAGCAGCAAGACTCTTCTCAGGTATGTCTTGGTGACAGCATATTATACTTACTCTAGCTACTGTAAGCTGCATTGGCTCCCAACTGATTTCCAAATTCAGTGTGCATCTTATTACATATAAATCCCTAAACAGCGGGGACTCTGTATAACCTGGTAGAACAGTTTTCTCCATAATAGTAGCCTGGGAGCTATGGTCTTCAGACAAAGGTATGCCCCTTCAAAGTAATCCTGAATCTGCCCAGAGTAGGACCTTCTTGGGGATGGCCCTGCTATATAGAATTCCCTCTGAAAATAGTTTGGTCTGCTTTTCTGTGGCATATATATATTCTTTTTTTTAAAATCTGAATACATATTTACCTTATGGAGACAATGCTTTTAATATGATATTTTTAATAGTTTGCCATGTTTTATTTGTTTTTTGATTATTTATTATTTTCTTTTGTAATTGTTTAATGGTTTTAAGATAGTGGCTGCACGTTTTGGAGATAATAATCATTACATTATCAACCTGATACTACTGTAAACTCCCTTTAGGCTTGCTTTGTGGGAAGCACTGCAGAATATAATTTTGTAAAATAAATAAGTAGATGTTACAGACCAGGCTGGACTTCAAAGCATAAGATATGGTGTAAAGGTTGAAGTGTAAACTCACTCAATTGCATATACATTCTATCTCTTTCCATCGCTGTGTGACTGGACTGCATTTTGTTTAGAAAAATTGCAAGAGTATACTGCCATCACTTTGCAAGATCATTACCACTTTCACAATAGAAATTACAATATCATAAGTGGCTAAATGACCTAGTATTAGAGATTTCCCTACCTCTATTATTTCCAGTGTACTTTTGTTCTGTTTATAGCAGACAAACAGATGAATCAAGACAGGGCAGGTAGAAGATTTAGGGATTCTCTTCATCATCTGTGAAAAAGCTAAATGGCTTTTTTTAAAAAACAGCAGTCTGGGGGGAATGGATTGTGGAGTAGGAATAGTTGAGTACTTGGTCAATTGTCTGAAGGATACGCCTGTGGAGATATGACTGGGAGATGTTTAGATCTGACCTTTTTTACAACAATCAACTATGGTTACCTATAAGTATCAAAATACGGTTTATCACTAAAGCATTTTCATTTTATGACATTGTAGCCAGGAATAAGTCGCACTTGGAGATACTTGTGCAGGAAAGACTTTAGGCTACTTCTACATGGTCAGTTTCTCATAGTGCTGGTCAAAAAGTCATTAAGCAGCCATGTTCTCTCTCTCTCTCTCTCTCTCTCTCTCTCTCTCTCTCTCTCTCTCTCTCT